TGCACTTTGAAATTAATACATTGAAATTTATAATTTCATGGTGAGCTGAGTGATTCATTCCCAATTTCTCTCCCCTCCCTTCTCTCCCCTCCCCTTTCCCACTTCTCTTCCCCTCTTTCTCTCATTTATGTATATATATTTCTTCTACCATTTCCAAGTAGTTTGGAGATATTCCCAGCATACAAATGGTAACCTAGGACCCCAAGTTAAGAATTCTTGATGTGAGGACTATTTTATGATGTGGTGGTATTGCTGTAGGTAAGCTAGAACTCTTTCATTCTCTGATTCAGACTTGTAAGGGCACACATAATGAATAACTCGGCATGTAGAGGCATGGATTTGATTGAATTAGAAGGAGTAATATGGAAATCATACTGTGAAGTAATATGGAAATCATACATACTGTGAAGATAGAAACTGGACCCACATGGTAGATGCTCATGAATGCAAGGCATTATAGTTTCCACTGATTTCACAATCCAGTGGTCTTTGTTTCGATGTCAGGGGAGCAAAATGATAACATATTTTTATGGAGAAGTCATGCAGCAGTGTTGCACAGTTGAATAAAAATGCATTTAGTATCAAAAGAGATTGCATGAATGTAGTTCAGATATTTCTGATATATCTTGGAATAAATTGGAGGAGGTCTCGCCCAATGGAGTTACAGAAGGACCAAGTGAGTACAGTTAGGAAGGAAGTACTGGATGTAGGCAGTGAAGTAGAGTTAAGGAACATTTTGTTGAGTGGTCACCAAGATAGCATTGTTAGAGGGAAACTGTGGTTTTCTGATATATCTTGGAATAAATTGGAGGAGGTCTCGCCCAATGGAGTTACAGAAGGACCAAGTGAGTACAGTTAGGAAGGAAGTACTGGATGTAGGCAGTGAAGTAGAGTTAAGGAACATTTTGTTGAGTGGTCACCAAGATAGCATTGTTAGAGGGAAACTGTGGATTCAGGAGCTCCTGATCTTAGCTCAGAAGCCTCCCTTACCTCTTCAAATCCTGCTGCCTCTCTGTTGTATGCCATGGCTGCTGTCACATTATTTTCTTTAAATCTGTTAGGTATGAAGGTAGATCTTTTTAGGAAAGTCTGTTTGAATCTCCAATTCCCCAGACAAATCACTTATATAATTTCGCCATTTCAGGGTGGTTCATGGGTACACCCCACATCCCAAGTGTGCAGTTCACTTATGTTGCCAGGTTAAGAATTCCTAATGGGACAAACATTTTATAATGGGGATTAGGTTGGATTCAACCAAAAATCTCTTGACTTTTTTTGTAACCACACAAAAATATCTGCTCAGAGTAACAGTCTCCCATCATTGAATTGGAATTAAGGTCATGGTCTGTTTACACTAGATGAACTGTTAGGTGTCATTAGGGCCTTGAAAGGAGTTGATCCCTAGGCTTTTCTGCCTGAGCAAGGGGACCTAAAATATAAGAGGAAACTCGAGTCCTTTGTATAAAGATTGCTAAGATTCTAATCTTATGCTGAGGCAGTGGGGGTAATCTTGCTTTAACAGCATCTTTACTTCCTTCCCAAAGTTTATGGTTTTACATTCTTACAGAAACAGTAGCATCTTATGTGAGAGAAATTCAAACTGCTGTGGTAACGTGTTTTCCAGTGACCAGAATGAGATTCCTCTTCCACACTGTAGCTTCAAGAAGCTTCTAGAAGCAACCTCGAAAGTGGAGTGTTCATCCCCTCTTCTGCCCTGATACCCCTTTGTATGTATGTGGTCAGATACTCAGTTCCCCTGGCTGGCGAATGAGTTGTGTCCATTATTGACATTGCCAGTCTTTGCCATTTTTGTACTGCCGCTGCCTGGGGAAGAAAGCTTCTAAGAGGAGCAGGCTGTGTTCTGCGGGCCTGGGCACCAGCCTGCCTTTGTGAGAAAGCCGCTACTAAGCAGACACAGCAGGAGAAGTTGGAAGTCAGGAGTTTCATTCCTTGCCTAATAAAAAGGGATGTTGAGTTGTGGTTGCAGCCTGCAGGGGGAGAGAGGGTGGGGAGGGGAGTTGGTCTTTGCTCTGTGGAGCAGGTAGCAGTGGAAGCAAACATGCTACCTGAGTACTCCTGTGTCTCCAAGACAGCTATCCTGCCCTATCTCGAAGAACTGGGTTATGTACAACACAGGGACATCCCACCGACAAGAGTGACAAGGCAGCAGAACCCGAATCTCCACTTTATTTACTATGCGTACAACTGTTAGCAGGCAGTTGTGTCCTACATGCTTTTAGTCCCGGAACAAAGGTGTATATGCTATTCCCTTTGGCATAGAACTGTTTGAAGCCTGCCATTCTTGGTGTTTGCTCCTTCCTCTTTGACATACATGCATGAATTTCTGTGCTGGGCACTTGACCCAGATAATCTCTTGAAGAGAAGCTTTTCCTGTGGCTTCAGGCTGCGGGAGCCGTTGTGCAGATGGCTCACCCGGCTCATTTCTGCAGGTTATGGGAACAAGAATCAAAGCGGCCTCAGCACAGAGAAGGAGACCCATGCTGAATGAGACCATTTAGCTCAGAGAGCCTCACACTCTGCAGCCTGGGTCTGGTTTATCACTGGAGGGTGCTTCCTACATGGGCATTATTTATCCTTAATGTTTACAAATTGCTTTCAATTTTGCCTCTACTTGCTAAGACATTACAGTGAGAGAGCTGTGTCTCAGTTTATATATGGTATTACAACACTGCTTACTTTCTTGCTACCTCTTGAATGGGCCTGAAATTGATCCAATTTAGCAATCATATCTTAAGGATGAAAAGATTAGGTCTTTGAAGTTTTTCCAAAATTAATGTCTGAATGCACACAAGTATCTGGTAATACCCTTTTTAGAAACAAGGTAGAGAGAGATAAGTAAGGTTTTTGTCTTGTTTTTAATTAAGCCTTAATGAATTTGGGTTTGTTTTTAAATGTACTGTGTGCACTGTTACTCATGTTCTGTGGCCTTGGGGCTTTTTACATTTTTTCTTTTTTGCTTGGGGAGCATGCTTAATCATAAGTCCTGGATTTCTGCCTTTGGCATAGAGCTACTTTGGGGTCACAGAAAGTAAAATTTTAGGTTATTCACCTCACATCTTTTGCCTGAAGAACCTCAATTTTCTGATTTACTGTTCAGCCCTGTTCTTTTTTCTTCCTAGTGTATGAGTTGCTCGCCAGCCCCTAGAAAGGTCACAAGCTCAGCAGTGTTCTCACATGAGCTGTCTGTTTATAGGGCAGGTCCATTTATTTTGGCTGTGCTTGTTAGAAGAGGATAGGCTGGAGGCATGTTGTGCCTCCAGAGGACCTGCAGAACGTTTAACAGGCCTCGCCTTGATGGAAGGTGAGTTACGGTTGGGGTGGCAGTGAGCTTGCCTTGCCTCCTAGAGGCTTGTTTCCTAAGGGTTCTCCTTTGAGTTTATGGTAGCAAAAGGGGGAGGTCCTGTTTGTGTCTGAGGACAAGAGCAGGCTTTGGAGTTGGGAGAGTTAGATCTGTTGTTGGCTTCTAGCCACTGTTTTCCCATATCGAACAGCTATCCTCTTCTGTTAGCTTTCAAAGCCCAAAGGACCAGGGACAAACCTTGTGAATCACCCTGGTCTGTGATCATTAACAGGCTCCCTGAATGATAAATCGCCAGACTAAATAGTAAAAGGAAAAATTTTGACCTGCATGCAATTTCTAAAACTGAAGCCTTTGATTCAAATACAGGAGGAACCATGGGATTCAGGGAACTTGGAAATGCTTTCTTTTCAGTTAGCAGTTCAGATCAGAGTTAGTGTATGTTTGTTTTGGTTTTATTCCTGTGTACTTTGCTTTCTTACCTTTCTTACCCTTATGGGATGGAGACTAGATTGTAAGGAAAGTGTGACTTGCTTCTGAACAGAAGGCATTTCAAATTATTTGAGTGCGAGACAGATTTTTCTGGGATGGACAAAGGAGTGAAAAGTAGATGGTAACAGTCCAAGTACATAAGAAATAGGACCCTTGCACTTTGAACTGAGCATCACCCACCCCATTTAGTTTATGTGAGTTTGACTTAGGAAGTTGGGTCCTGAAATTAACCTGTGGTCATTAAGCAGGAGCTGAGTGGGATGGTACAGGAGTGATAGCTTGTGTGAGGATCTGGTATATTGACCCTGATCTGAGCAGTTTTTTCTACTCTATCTCTAGAATTCAGAAACTTGTATAGAGTCCTCTGCAGAGTGAGTACATCCCTGAAGCTGTTTCTCATTCTCTGAACTCTAATTTTCCCTGCTGGGATTTGCAGGCTGGCAATACATAGAAAGGTCTTACCTACTAGTGGGGTGACTTGGTGATATACCCATCAGCTTTTATTCCCTAGCCCAGGATTGTTAATGAGTGATCATATTCAGTGATGTTCAGGCTTCTGCCCCTGAAGCTACCACTCAAGGGATTAGGGTGGAGCAGACCTCCTGTGGCCAGATGTGAGACAGTGTCCAGAGTCCCCTGCTGAATCCACTGTTACTACAGCCAGAGACTGATTGAAAAGGAGGCTTAATGTCAGTTCTGTGGCCTTGGCTAATTTTTCCTCCTACTGTTAAATGACTTCATTCAGGGTAACTCTGTTTTTACCTGGGAAGAACTTATTTCCATTAGAATTGGAACACTAGCTACATATTTTGCATTTAAAATGTTTCATGTGATTAAATGCAGAAAGAAACATTATTACTTCCGTTTCTTAGGAGTGTGCTCTTGCAACTGATTCCTCTTCTGTGCCTGGAACAATGCCTCTAATCTGGAAACAAGTTTGGGAGCAGCTCTCTCTGATTAGTAGACACACTGTTAGCTGAAACTAGCAGCCAAGTCCTAGTGACTGGGCTTAGGAGAAGAGCGGTCTCATGTTCTGCCTCACAGACACTAGCTACTCAGCAGTGTGCAGAATGACTTGTGTAGTGAGGACCCCCATTTGAATGATCCCTCTTCTCCTCCCTTCTCCTTCTCTCGTACCCGTGCCCGGTGTGGCTTGTATTATAAGTGGTCTTTTCTTCTTCCTTTACAGAGCTATTAAGAACGGCAAAGGACTGCATAGCAAGAAGGAAGTGCCTATCCACCGTGTCGCAGACATATCTGGGGTGAGTCCTGTTACTGAATAGAGCTATGTGGCTCAGAGGCGCCACGAGCTTGGCTGCTTATTCTCCCAAGGACTTCAACTTAACGTGTTTTCTGTAGCTCGTTTGTTTCCAGGCGGTCAGTGTGAGTTCTTCCAGGGCTGCAGCTTATGCATCTATACAGATCCTGATTTATATTCTGGAAAAGCACATCTCAAACTAGGGCATAAAACCTCATCTCCATTTGAACTGTTTCTGTGTTGCTTTTCCATTTTGTAGTTACTGTGAGTTAGAAGATAATCTCCTTTAAAGTCTAGTTCTAACTATGACTATAAAGTCTCAGTGGAAAAAGGTTAAGTATAGATTTTAGGACAAGTTTAGGAAAATGGTAATTTTCTTGAGATTTCTCTTTCTTTGGGTTGCTTCTAAGTGGGAGAAACATGAGAGCATTCTTTGAGCCGATAGATGCAGGTGATCTAGAAGAACAGAAGACACAAATACTTTTGAGCCCCCAAAGGCTGTGTCCAGATGACTATTTAGGATTTTACCCATATATATTTAGGGTTTCTCTTGGCTGAACAGACACCTTTGTTAGTTGAGAGGGTTTATTCATTTATTCAGTAAGTATTTTCGTCCCTACTGTACCTAAACTCCACTTGTCACTGAGAAAGTCACAATGAACAAAACTGAGAAAGTCCTCCTGCGAGTGGGAAGGGAAGACCGCATCCATGTCAGGTAAGGGCAACTGTTGCAGAGAAGCAAAACCGCCGTTGGGGCTACCGAATGGTGAGGTGCTGGTTTCTGTCAAGCGCCCAGGGGAGGCTTGTTGGCTCACTCTGTGTTCCCGAGACACACCATTGCAACTCCCACTGCCGGAGTAGATCCACACAGCCCAGGCAGTGTCGGAGGAAGGACTGCTAAAGCCTTGCTTGGATAGGCAGAGAGCTCACATTGGCCATCAAGAAGGAAATGCTACTGTGAACAAGCATTCTCGAGCTCAGCCTTGCCCACACAGTGATGAATTAGAGTGTATTATTTTCTCGTGGTGTTGTGTTCCCAAGCCTGGTGGTGGCTGTGCCTGTCACCTGCCCCTTTGATTGCTCATTATAAATGTGTCCAGCCAGCTCCCCTTTGCCTAGATATAGGGGTACCTTATTCATTTTAAGCGATGAGCTTCTTTTGAGCTTTTCGTTCTCTGTGGCCAGCCACTGCAGAGTACAGATTAAACACTGTTGCCTGCATTAACCTGACCTTCTCAAGAAGCCATAGCTGTGTTTAGTGAGTGAGGTATATTGGTATGTATTCTTTGTAGGTGAAAGCCCCAGGAAGCCCGGGAACCTGTTGCTGATGGCCTTTCAGCCACAGGTGACTAAGGTGCATCTGCCAAGGCTCGCTGTTAACAGGTGTGACCCTCCCAGAGTGGTGGTGTCAGGCATATTTTCTCTGGCTTATCTTGCTGAGTTAATGTTCATATGTATGTATATAAATTTATTTGTGTATTGCCTGTGGCATACTCAGTTTTTCCTTAATACCATTCTTTTTGGTGAGGATGTTGGAGTAATCAAATGCCAGTTTTTTTTCTGTTCAAGCACAGAGGGGCAAGCCTGCTTTGGAAAGTGCAATGGTGACCCCTCTACACTAGGGGCAGATATGCTCATCCAGAATCTCACGCCAATGCCACCCTCCAGGGGCCTGGGTTCAACCTTGGGGATGGTTCTCTGTTGGCCTGTGGCTGTCATGGTCTTACTCAGATTTCCCATTGGCCAGGAGGGGAAGTCCTCGGCAGGTTTTTGAGGCAGATGCTCAGTGCTGTCCTCTTGGAACCTGCCAGCACAGTATCCCCACCATAATCGTGGCTATTTTTAAATCTTACACCACCTCCTACTTTGATAATTTTGGTATTTTCTTATTTTTTTTTCTTTTTGGTAGCAGTGGGTCTTATAAAACTTGTCTTCATATATATTCTCCCCTACCCTTAGTTCAGTTTCATGCATATCTGAATTCTCTTTTTATGTTATTTAAAAATAAATGCCACTTAAATCCTCCTCAGTTCCCACATAAATAAAAGAGGAAAGCTTGAGCAAGTGGAAGGGTGAATGTGAAAAAGCTATTCCATTTAGACAGATGTCAGAATGACCTTGTCTACCTTCATCACATGTTATTCAGCTTGGAGTACAGAGGGTTCCATCTGTAATAGGGAGTTGAACTCTCTGATTCTAACGTTCCCTTCTTTTCCTTCACAGTGTTGTGTTAAGTACATGTAGGCATCGTGTCCCCTTGTGCTATTTAAGTGAGGTGTATGGTTTTTCAGCTTCCTTAAGCATGCTGGTGATGTTACTGTCTGAGGGACAGGGTGGGCTTCTGTGGTTAAGCAGACATACAGCTTACAGCCAGATGAAGACAAACACCCAGAATAAAGGCCATGTAAGGCACACATACACAACTTTATGACAGCGTCATGATCTTCTTAATAAACCTTTAGCTGTACCTGACCCCTGCCCACCCACCACCACATCATATCCACAACCCTATGTGGTACCATCCCACTTCCCGCCCCACTAAGTTGCAGGTCATGATAAATGGTAGTTTTTGTTCAGTATATACAATATACTCTCAGAATAATACACTATGAATTGCTCCCTATTATGCATAATGCCTGTCAACCCCAAAATATATCCTTTTAATAAAAGAAGACATATATAAGCATGACATACTTTGTCTCCTAAGTATACTCAAGACACAGGGAAGACGTTATGCCATGATTGTGAGAGGCCTATAGATTTGTTCTCATCTTAATTGTCCTCCCACATTTGGCATTTAGTGTCTCCCCATTGTCCATTTCTCTTCTCCTGCAGTTTCATAAATGATTTCTCTCTGTAAGGGTCGGGTGCATTAAAATCCCATGTTGTATGGAGACTTCATAAGTGCCAGTCCTGCTTCACTGGCTTCCTGTGGTGGGAAGTGAGTAACCCAAGCAGAGGAGCGAAAGAATGACCACCTGGTTTGGGCAGGGGGACGCTGGCCTCTGTTTTCACATCCACTTGTCAGCTTTCCCCCCACCTGGACTGGCCATTTAGTGGCTACTAAGAATGCTTTCTGACTCTGCTCCACTAGGCCAGTTGAGCCTCTTAAATCCCTTAACATACTGAGAGCTTGTTACAGTTTTTTGCTTTTCGGAAGTATGATAGCTCCCAACTTCTAGGTGGTGGTTTTGTTTTTCATGTGTTAATAACGACAGTTTTTGTCTTTAAGGTCACCTGAGTGTTGTTTTTTCCACAAGGTTACGCCATCTGTATGACACGAACTGACTGTACTGTACCTTTGGCTAGGGGTTTGTTAAACTTGGCATTCCTGCATCTTTTTCACCTGTGTTCAGGATAACGACTAAGGAAAATAATTACTGCCAATGTAGTAATTTGGATTCTGAGAAGTTAGTGGTTTCCTTGCTTTCTAATTAATGTTTAAAGGTAAAGGAAGTGGGCTATTAGAAGTACAGGTCTCTGTTGTCATTTCTGCAATCATCTGCATTCCCTTCAGGCCAGGATGTTCCTATGGAGGTGAGACCAACTAAGAATTTGACCGACTTGACACCAGATTTGGTTTTGTCTGCAGGGTGGTTCTGTGGTGACCACTTCACTTCATACATCCATGTTTTCATTATCAGTGGGCTTTGTTTTTCCCTGATCACACCCTCCCTTGCCAGCATACAAAAGTTGGAATGTGCGTGTCAGTGGAACATAAGGCTGCTCCTTATCTTAGGCTTATTATTATTTTAGCTGTAGCCTGTTCTGTAATAAATACAGTTTCCTGATTCGGAATGTAAAACAGGCAGTAAAATGAGGCTGGCGCATGGCATACTGTTGTTCTGGTAAATCAGACAAATCAGTCATGGTTCTGATGTAATAGAGGGCTCCTCACTCCTCAGGTTGCAGCCAGCTCACAGATTTCTTCCTGTGCCGCCCTCCACTCCTTCCCCTTCATTTTGTGCATGAAGAGTGCTGAGTGAGTCAATGTCTGCTTCTCTTTTACCCTATTTCCTATTGTGTCTGTTCTTCCCTCTCTGGTGCAGGAGGAGATAAGCTCTTAGTTGCCAACTCTATGAGAGCACAGAGCCTAGACCAGCATCCTGTCCTCTTCAGTCTTAATTCTCACAGTCCCAGGATGGGATGTTGTACTTGAACGGTGTTTGCCTTATCTGCGTATCTTCTGCGTATTCATGATAAGGAGTCCTGACAATTGGTCTGTTAATTTTCTGTTGTTTGCTCTTCTCTCCTTCCTTGACTTAGCTAAATCCCTTTGTCTTTCTGTTAACTGCTGCTATGCTTATTTAGACTTTGGTTTTTTTTGCTCCTGTTGCATACTGTTTTGTGACCTCTATCCATGACTGATTTTGTTGTACATGCATAGTACTTATGACAAGAATATGCTTAAACCAGGACCTGGGGTGATTCAAAGTCTAGTAGTGGGGTTGGGGTAGAGCACCATCAGATTTCCAGATCCCTCTTGCTGTACTACATCATGAAACAAATACTTCAAGTGTTGACCAGTGAGATTCTGACTTGCAAACAGAAAGGATCAAAGTATTCCTTTAAAACCAATAGATAGATAGATAGATAGATAGGTAGGACTTTCTCTAACATGTCCTCACATCTTCCTTCAGTTCCTGGTTTCTCAGTGCCTTCTTGAACTTGAAGGACACTCCCCTCTATTAAGCAGTCCTTTCTGTAAGAGGCTTGAGGACCTTCATGGAAGTTATCTTTCCTTAGCTCCCATGGAGTTTGGCCTTGGTGGACGAGTTTAAAATAATAATAATACTAGTAATGATCTTTTTGGCTAAAGAGAATGAAAAAGTGGTTTTCTCAGTAAGTCCAGAGGGTAGTGAAATTATTATAATTTCCGTTTTATGTTTCTGGCCCATTTGTTTAGATTGTCATCTTCTCAAGTGATTCTAAAGTCTTCTCAACCACCTTGCTGTGCTAGCTTGAAGGCACAAGCTTCCCTCTCCAACTCCTTAGCCTCTGCTC